GTGGACCTCTTTAAATATTTTTTTTTACATAAATAACAAATTTCAATTTAAAAATTTTAAAATTCTATTGGGGATTGAGGCCTTATACTTAAAAGATTTTTCTTGCTACAATAACTATGAATGTAATTAGAGTAGTTGTAATTATTATTATTAAAATTTGAGAGGGTACTGGCAGTTGAACCCAGGGCTACAATACAGCCCTAGACCTTTTCTTTCTCTCTTTCTTTCTTATTTTACTTTGTATTTTAAGTTAGGGTCTTGCTAAGTTGTCCAGGCTAGTCCCCAACTTACTATCCCCCTGTCTCAACCTCCCATTTACAGATGTGTACCTCCATTCCTGGCAGAATTTTTGTAATTATTAAAGAATAAGAATGCAGTAAAATCTAGTTAACACAAAAACTGAACTACCAATAACATTTTCATAAACATCCTTAATATCATATTGTTTGTATTTGAAATTGTCAGTTGAAAATTTTACCTGATAGAATCTTTCAGAAGCCACTAATTAATTTTCTATTATTTCTAACCCTTAATGGCTCTTTACCCTTTACTATATGCCTAGAATATGGACTTTCACTTTCTTCTTTTTTCTTTTGGTATTAGGAATTACCATAAGCTACATCCCCAGCCCTTTTTATTTTTATTTTGAGACAGGGTTTTACTAAGTTGCTGAGGCTGACCTTGAACTTTCTATCCTCCTGCCTCAGTCTCCCGAGTCTCTAGGATTACAAGCATGTGCCACTGTACCTGGCTTATTTTCTTCTTTTCTTTATGTTAATTGATATCCTATTTATTTTCAACTTGTTAGTCCTTGCTACATCATATATTTCTAGGTCTCACATTGGACATACGAATTCATATGAAATGTACTCTTTTCTTTATATATGAGGGTAGACCATAGAATTAGTTGTTTCTCCAGTTTTTGGAGATCTACATAGACTTGCTAATTTTAATATAAAAATGGATAAATCAGATGATTTAGCCCAATCTCCCTTCTCTTTGTTTTTTCTCCTTCCCATGGCTATCTTTCACACTAGTACAATGATTTGAGTAGAACAGGAGTTAGGAGTGATTTGTTCTAACTGTTGCATCCTGTCTTCTCCTAGGCTCTGCAGGCATTGCAGCGGCAGCCCAATGCAGCTCAGTATTTCCACCAGTTCATGCTCCAGCAGCAGCTCAGTAATGCCCAACTGCATAGCTTGGCTGCCGTCCAGCAGGTGAGAGGTCAGCAGCCAGCTGACCCAAGAGGGAGGGGATAAGCACCATGGGTGGGTAGGGGACTTTTGGGGAATATTGCATCCTCACTAAGCCAGACTAGGGGCAAAGTCTCTTTTGCTTCCTGTGCTTTTATAGGAGCACGGATACATCTTAGTTTCTGCAGTTGCAGTAAGAACTGGGGAGGAATCACCTTTTAGAGGTAGAATGGCTATGTTCTAGACCTGTTCTGAATGCTTGAAATGTCTTTAGTCCAAATTAAGATGAGGTCTAAGATTTTCGACTTTGAAGACGTAGAATGACAAAAAGAATGTAAAATATCTCAGTAATATTTTAATACTAATTACACGTTGAAATGATAATATTTTAGATATATTGGGGAAAATAAGTTAGTGAAGTTAATGTCCCTTGCTTTTTTTTACTTTTTGAAAAATTGTACATAGTAGACAATTATATACGTGGCTCACATTATATTAGTATTGGACACCTATACCTTGTATTTATTATTGACTCATGATGTGACCTGTCTAAAAGTTTTTTATCCACCTAAAAGAAAGTGGGAACAAGAAGACAGGTTGCCTGCTGCTCCAGGAGGGTTATGCGAGGGTTGTTGGGTTAGTGAATATACTTTCCCATACTCTGTTATTACCTGAAATCTCTATATATTTTATGTCTGTGATTTATTACTGTAAGACTGAGAACATCTTTTTCATTGTCTGTACTATTTCTTGTTTCCCTTCCACTTTAATAGGCCACGATTGCTGCTAGTCGGCAAGCCAGCTCCCCAAACACCAGCACTGCACAGCAGCAGACTACCACCACTCAGGCCTCAGTGAGTACTGCCTCTCTCACTGAGCCCTTGTCCCTGGGTTAAACTACTTAGCATAGTTGATTTGAGGGTGTTTATTAAGCCATCAAGTGGATATTTACTATTCTAATACAGAACATATTAGTACTAAAAGAGAAGATAACCAGCTTGCATCTGTACAGGAATCTTTAACAAGGAACCCAAGGAAGGAAAAAGAAAACACTGATGAAGAAAAGAAGATAAAGGAAAGGGGCTCTGTTAGAAAGAAATGAAATATGTTTCATTTCTTTATTATTTTATTACCTTTTTGTGTGTTGGGGTCCTGGGGATTAAACCCAGGGTGCTCTACCACTGAACTACATGCACAGCCGATTTTAACCCTTTCTTTTTATTTTTTTTTGGTGAGGCAGAGTCTCACTAATTTGCCAGAGCTGGCCTCAATCTTGAGATTCTCTTTCTCAGCCTTTTGAGTTGCTGGGATTACAGGTGTGTGCCACCATGCCTGGTGCCATTGCATATTTTTGCCTTCTCAAGTATTAACACAAGTGGTTAGGATCTATCTATCTGTCTGTCTATCTATCTATTTATTTATTGGTACTGTGGATTGAACCCATTGATGCTGAGTTCCAAAGTGGTCAGGATTGATCTATTTTATTTGTACTGTGAATTGAACCCATTGATGCTCAGTTAACATTCCTCGTTCTTTATTTTGAGATAGAATCTCACCGACTTGCTTAGGCCTAACTAAGTTGATGAGGCTGACCTTGAACTTTCGATCCTTCTTGACTTTGGTTATACCAAGGTAGCCAGGAAAACAGTTTTGGATAGGAAGTTATTATGCATTTCCCTCTGACTCCTTGAGAGTGAGATATTCATTTATTGACTGGGTCACACTGAATTTGTCAGTCATGTAACTTTCCTTTTACTTCTCCCAAATCCTTAGTCTGGATTCCTTTGTGTCATGCAGATTAATCTGGCCACCACGTCAGCTGCCCAGCTTATTAGCCGATCACAGAGTGTGAGCTCTCCCAGTGCCACCACCTTGACTCAATCTGTGCTGCTGGGGAATACTACTTCCCCACCCCTCAACCAGTCCCAGGCCCAGATGTATCTGCGGGTAAGCTGTAGACATAGTAACCGTTGTCTTGGGGACATAAGTTCCTATTTATACTTTCCATGCTAAGGACTTGAGTAAGAGCAATTTTATTTATTTGTTTATGTATTTATTTGTTGTTTTGTGGTGCTGGGGATCAACACCAGAATCTTACGATGCTAGACAAGCACTTGACCACTGAGCTACATCCTCAACCTGAAAACTTTTATGTAACTTTGGTTACCCAGATGTTTTGAGACAAGTTGATCTACTTCCCATGTCTTAATTTACCCTTGAAGTGATGATGCTCAGTATTCACAGGTAGCCTGCAGATTATATTGAGATTCTAAACTAATATTTGGCTAAATCACTGTTAGATGTAGTCTAACTTTTAAACCTATGATTTAAGTATACAAATTGTTAAGGGTTGTCTCTCAGCTTATCTACTAACTCATTCTAAGACCCTTGTTTCAGCTTCTTTGATGTTTGAGTCTTTGTTATCAATCCATAGTTTTCTGTACATTCTAGGTTTTTTTTCCTGGATGATTTATTTTACATACACACACACACACACACACACACACACACACACACACACACACATACACATATACATACATACATATGGAGAATAAGAGATTCCTGGGTTGGTGTGGAAAGGGACAGGGCTTAGCTATTTAATATCTGCTGTTTATTTTTTCTTGTGGTCCTTCCCTTCTATTTCTTCTGTCTACTCTTTTCTTCTTTGCTCTTCTTCTTCCTCCTCTCCTTGCCAGCCACAGCTGGGAAACCTATTGCAGGTAAACCGGACCCTGGGCCGGAATGTGCCTCTAGCCTCCCAACTCATCCTGATGCCTAATGGGGCAGTGGCTGCAGTCCAGCAGGAGGTGCCATCCGCTCAGTCTCCTGGAGTTCATGCAGATGCAGATCAGGTCAGTGGCAACCACTTTACTGTGGATGGGCTCTGGGAAGGATGAAGGGAATGGCCTAGACTAGGGACCACCCTCTGCCCCATTATTGCTTTTCAGAACTCTTATTTTTTTGTGTGTTGTTTTCCCTTTCATTAATCCCTATAAAATGTGAATTCTTTTTTTTTTTTTTAAAGAGAGAGTGAGAGAGGGGAGAGAGAGAGAATTTTTAATATTTATTCTTTTAATTCTCGGCGGACACAACACCTTTGTTGCTATGTGGTGCTGAGGATCGAACCCCGGCCGCACACATGCCAGGCGAGCGTGCTACCGCTTGAACCACATCCCCACCCCCAAAATGTGAATTCTTTAAAGCTTTTGAGTTGACTTGATTTAGAAAGGATAGAATTGTCTGAAAAGAGCTCTGTGGATCTGGCGAGTCTTACTTTGAATACAGGATAAATTTCCAGACTATATTTGTAGTCCTTGGTGGTTCAGTTTTATTCAGTCTTAATTCTTTCCCATAATAATGTCTCCTGAAGATAAGGAATGGTGGAGGGAATTCTGTTGTTACACGAGAAGCAGACCTGGCTGAGTTGCTGAAGGAATATTTGAACTTTCGATCATGTCTTCTGCTCATGTCTCTTACTGTCATTCTCAACTTTTAATCTTCTGTTCATTTTTTTCTCTAATAAAAGTCTTCTTTACCATTACTCTCTATGACTTATTTCCAAAATACATATATTTTATTTTTTTAGCTTATTGGATACATTATCAAAGTAGGATTTGATAATGATTATTTCATTCTTTTAGTCTATCAGTAAGTAATATTGAGCCCTTTTTATTGATACACTCAAATATGTATTAGAAATTTTAGAGGATCAAAAAGGGATATGTCAAGTCTTCAAAGAGGTTGGAGAACAAAAGCACTCAGGTAAATGGTATTAACTTTGAGTGTACCACAAGTTTATAGTGAAGACTTGGTTGCAGGATACCTGAGTTACCTTAAAAAGGCTGGGTAGGATTTGATTTGGAATGAGGAGAAAACGAGAGAGAGCACCAAGTGTTAGGGTATAGGTCATATATGTAAATATGAGTGTATGTGGAAGGGTAGAGATGAGGATAAAGGAGAGATAATAGGCCTGTGGTAGAAGTAGTCAGTGCTAATGAGCAACCTAAAATCCAAGAATAGGAGATTGTAGTCAACTTCATAGGCTGTAGGGACCATTAGTGATATTTTACAGCAGATTACAGGATAAGAAAGTTTTTTTTAAGAAGAATCATTGAGGCCAGATGTGGTGTTACACATTTGTAATCACAGCTACTCAGGAGGCCGAGGCAGGAAGATCACAAATTTGAGACTAGCCTGAGCAATTTAGTGAAACCCTGTCTCAAAATAAGAAATAAAAAGGACTAGGGATATAGCTCAGTGGTAGAACATTTGCCTAGAATGTGTGAGGCCTAGAGTTCAATCCCCAGTATTGGAAAAGAAGAGAAAGAAAAAAATTATTGAGGAACAAAGCATATGCCTGGATAAAAGACACTAGCAAACCTGCTTGAAGACCTTGGTCAGCTAGTTATATAGTCTTTGTTTCAGATTTTGCTAATAACAGTGGGAGCCAAGAATAAGGCTGTCCTCCTTCCATGTCCAGGTTTTTCATTTACCAGTTCATTCATTCATCAAATCCTGGGGTATCAATATGTTGAGGGACAGATGGTAGTGGTTACAATGTGCTCTGTTGTTTGGATCAGATTCTAGCTCCATTACTTATTGTGCCCATGGGCAAGTGACCTGGCATCTTTCTGCTATGGTTTCTTTATCTATAAACTAGGTATTATAATATACCTGCCTGATAGTATGTATGAAGGACAAATTGAGTTGATGTGTGCAACTGCTTGAACAGTGCCTGGACATAATATTTAAGAGTGTTAACTGTTGTTGACATATCACACATTCTTAGCCTTGGAGGCCCAGCAAAGTCATGATCACTATGTTTATGGAAATTATAGCCATCAAAGCAGTAGATGTTAAACACCATTTAGTGAATGGTGTCATAATTGCTTTACTGCAAAGTACAGGGTGCTCTCAGAATAAGGGATGGGGGATAGAAATCAAAGAGGTGACATTTAAATTAGAGACTATTGAAGTTTGCCAGGTATAGATGTGGGAGAGTGTTGAAGGCCAGGAGAATGTTATGTCTAAAGGTCCTGAGGAGGGAAGGAACTTGGTTTATTTGAAGAATCAAAAAGAAGGCTTGTTTTGCTGACATTTGGCAAAGGGGGCTAGACAAGTGGGAGGAACCTCATCTTGCAGGGCCTTGGTGCCTGTAATTAGGCTTTTGAGCTTTTTGTAAAGGGTAATAGGAAGCTGTAGAAAGATTTAAAACATGGAAGTAATGGGGTGAGGTCTTTTTTGAAAAACCGTGTGTACTCCTCTGTGGACACTAAATAAAATGGTGTGTGAATAGGGAGAATAACAGTGTTAGGACAGTTTAGGAGATAGATGGTGTTTGGATTAGGTGTGTAACAATGGAGTAGAACAGAAATGTATAGATTTGAGAATAACTTAGAAGAGTCATAAAAGAAGGTGAACTGTTTCAGTAGACAGGGAAATTGAGGGAGATGTTGGCTCCAAGCTCTTGTCTAGCAGTCGGATGGATGGCTGTTGATAATGTTCATAAGATGGACATTGGAGAACTGGATTTAGAGTTAAGTTGAGGTTTGGACATGAAGACTTGAGGTGAATGTGAGCCACGTGAAGAGATATTGAGACAGCAATATATGGTTCTTAAATTCAGAGGTCTGGGTCTGAAGTAGATATGTGAAAGGAGTAGACATATAGATAATAATTGCAGCCAAGGTAATGTTTACAATTTCTTAAGGAGATGGTATGGATTAAAGAGAAGAACATGGGATAGGGAGCCTTGAGGGTTAGGATGAACCCTTACTAAAGCAGTTCAAGGTTGGTTAGAGAGGAATGGGCTGATATAGAGAAACAGGAATGACGGATAGGAAAATCTGGACTCCTTAGTGTCATGAAGAAAAGGGAATAAGATGATACAAGATGGAAATATATGTGTAGGGGAGTACTCATCTCTTTTGAATATGAGAAGATGGATGGATTTATTTATGTGGAGGGACAGCTGCTTCAGTAGAGTTGGAGGGGGGTTGAATCCAAAATTGTATGAATTTGAGGAATGAGTGGATAGTGGGATTGAGTACAGTTAAGGTACACAAGAATTTAGCATTGTTGGGGAAGGAGGACAAAACTGGGGAAAGGGAATGTCTTGTTCAGAGATTCGAGGGGCTGATAGAGAAGGGAAGGTTGAAGAGACGAGATAATTTCTGTGATAAACTTGCTAAGAAGACAGGAATAGGTGGACCCAGAGCATAGAGAAGGATTGCCCTTTGATAGGAGGAAGGAGAGAAGGGGAAAGGAAGGAGATACATGCTGGTAAATGTATATATTGGGTGGTAAAACTGTGATGAGGTAGTTTTCATATAATGGTTTTTATGTTCTCTGCAGAGGTGAAGAGTAAGAAGAGAAAGTGGTTCTTTCTTTTTTAGTACCAGGGATTGAGCCCAGGGGAGCTTAACTACTGAACCACATCCCCACCCCTTTTTTATATTTTTATTTGGAGACAGGGTCTTGCTGAGTTCCTTAGTGCCTCGCCAAGTTGCCGAGGCTGCCTTTGAACCCATGATCTTCCTGGCTCAGCTTCCCAAGCTGCTGGGATTACAGGCATGTGCCATTGCACCCAGTGTCCCTCCTGCCTTTTTTAAAATTTTGAAATAAATAAAATATAATTGTTAAGTTGCTGAGGCTGGCTTCTTTTAATCCTCCTGCCTCAGCCTGAAATTACAGGTGTGTGCCACCATGCCTAACTGAGAAAGTGGTTCTAAGGTATAGGGAGAGTAGGAAAGTTGGAAATAGCCATTGTGAGAAAGAAACCGATTTTAAAAATAGCATAATTGCCAGATATTATGTGCCCTAGTGCCCAGTCTTGATGTTCTTGTTTTGTTATTGTTGTGTTTGTTTTTCAGCCCTGAAGGTTCTTGTAAATTTCTTTCCAAAGCTAGATTCTCCCTTTTGCTGCTTCTACCTGAATTCAGGTTCTTATTTTTTTACCTAACTTACTGTATCAGTTTCCTAAATGGCCTTCTTGACTTCAGGCTTGTCTTCTTGTGATCCTCTTCCATGTTACTATCACTGTTTTGAAATAAGAAAACATATTGTTACAAATTAAAAAAAGAATTGTTCCTGCTATACACAGAATTAGATAATTCATAGTGCTTGACTACAATAGTCCTCATTGGTCCACTTTTATTTATTTACTCAGTAATTTCTTAACAAAATAATAAGTGGACTAGGAGTATAATTTGCTGGTAAAATGTTGTTGGTCTAGCATGTGTAAGGCCTTGAGTCGATCCTCAGCACCACAAAAAATAAAAGTGTTATTTTATAATAATAATATAATAATATAAGCAGTTCCTACTTCCATACACTGCCTACCCCTACCCATGATAATAATCATTCTGATTCCTAGGTTCATTCTTCCTTTGGGTCCCTTTTATATAGTCTTATTGCATCTCTGTATATTTCTAAAAATGTCATCTTGGAGGCTGAGGCAGGAGGATCACAGGTTTATGGACAGCCTCAGCAAATTAGTAAGGCCCTAAGCAATTTAATGAGACTTTGTCTCAAAATAGGAAAAACAAAAAGGGTTGGGAATGTAGCTTATTGGTAAAGCACCCCTGAGGTCAATCCCCAGTACCAAAAAGAAGAAGTACTTTTGATCATGAAAAATTTTCAGACAAAAATTATTGGCACTTTGCCATTCTATTTAGGTCCTCTGCTTGTGGATTAATTTGAAGGAAATCCCAGACCCTCACCCTCTCTCTCTCTCTCTCTCTCTCTCTC